TTCAAAGAGCTTCAGGGGCGGGGGGAGATATCTGCATAGTATAATTTAGTTGCAAGGAAATGCTAATGATTACAAACAAATATAGAAGTTAATTTCCTTATTCTTTCTGTAGCTGTATTTGTGAACTCACATTTAAGTAAGGGACTGATCTTGCTTCCCAGGCACTTTGTGACTATCGTTACTTAATGTGAATACTCCACAGAGGTAATGTGATTTCTTGTTCCTCCCTCTGTATCAGTGAGGCCTCTGACGGGTTCTCTTTAATAGTGTATCTTTGTTCATGGTGAGGTTAAAATGCTTTTTAGGACAGTACAGGGAAGAGAAAATGGCTGCTGTGTGTAGTACATCTTCAGAGACACGATAAACACACCAATTCTCGTAATGTTGCACTAAATACATTTATGATAATGGTGTTCAATAAGGGAGGAGAGGAGAGGCAAATGTAATTTCAGTGAAATGCCTTGTTTCCAAGATATAAAAGTTGTTCTGAAAAAATAAACTGTTAAAAGAGGAAAAATAAAACTATTTAATATGTGCTTACATTCTAGTTGCAAATCAAAGTAAAAACACTGGCCTACTGTGTTTATACTGTTCTGCAATATTAATATCTGCATATATGTTCATACTAATTTTTACTTTAAATTTTATTAAAAATCATCACCTTTTTTGCCCTTCTCTTAATGCAGGCAAAGAAATAACCTAATCAACTATTAGAGAATAAAGAACTTTCCTTTTAAATACGTTAAGAATAAGAGTTAACAAGAATTTAGACCATCTTCCTGCCCTTTGGTTTTGAATTCCATACTCATGCTTTTTACACAATTCTCGTGGAAATGTATACCTCTACCCTTTTTCCTCTTCCCTTTAGAATCTGTAAGAACAAACATTTAAAATTACTTTCTGGCAGAGGGTTGCTTTAGGATTTGCTCTTTCTGCTTTTATGCAGCTGCCTCTGACATCTGGAATGAGCTGGGATGGATATCTGTACTTCCTCCTGAGGCTTCTGCACACAAAGCTTTTTTTATTGATTGATTTTTAAAAAAACTACTATAAATTGCTCTTTTTTAAATCTTGAACTACTGCACCCTAGTATTTAAATTCTTTCTAATTCCCCACCCGAGGTCAAATTATAACCTTATTTTGTGTAAGCCTTGGTGTAAGGTGGGTGTTAGACAAGCCATAAATGTCATTTGGACTCGGATGTATCTCCATGTAAACCAATCTGAACTCCTTTACAATGGAATTGTATTTGTCTTTCAATCTTCTCCATGCCTCCATAACCATGTCCAGGTGAGTAAGCATCTTACTACTTTTCCGCAGCTCTGGTTCCATCTAAATTTCTAGTTTATTTTTTCATTTGTAATTTTTTTCAGTTTTTCTTTAGCTCATTTTTCCTCCAGGAGAACCTTAAAATACCTCCTTCCTTTTAAATTTATCATTCTGAAATATTTTATTCACCTTTAAACATCTTAATCTTGAAGTCCATTTTGTAAGAAATTAGTATTTAGTCATTAATTTTACTCACCTTTCTTTTATTAACCCCTTCTTGATATATCTATTTATTCTTATTATTGTCTGGGCAGAAGGATTAAATCAAGTGCATTGCTGTGTACTATGCATTTGGCTATATGGCTTACATTTTTCTCCTTCAGTTCAACTTGTGCTAATGACAGTACTTGTCTTCCTCAGGCAGCCATAGGAAAACCAACAGTGAGTCATTTTTAATGACTGTCTATTAATGGCTTTGGAATGTGTGTTCCATTGGGTTCCATATGTGAAAGAGACATACTCTGTACTTATAGAGAATTTAAAGTTATAATTCAGATAAGGATTTACACAAAAAATTTATGTAAGGCTAAGGGAAGGAGCGTGTACTGTACAAGTATGCTTTACAAAAGGAAAAGTTGTCAATAACTGATGGCTCTGGTTGGTTCTACAGTTGTTTTTTTCATGTAGGTTTGGTGTTTCCAAAGCAGCAGCCACGGAAAGGCTCATTCCCTCCTGTCATCTATGACTATGAAATGTACAAATGCCCTGTAGGAACATAAGTTCTGGATTCTGGTAACACTTACAAAGAGAAGTTTTTCTTTGTGATTTTTGTTGCAAGAAGTTTCCCTACTAGTCAGATGTTACTAGCATCTGTTGTTTTGGGTAAATCAGACACTTCACAGCTGTCATGGTAATAGGAGAGAGGAGGTGTCTCTTGGTTTCTAAGCTTCACGGAAGGAAAGAAGCACCTGTGCTTTGGAGGATTCAGAGATTGAGAAAGAAAAGGGGAGAAGGGGAGACATGTGCTGGGTACCTATGAAAGGTATATTATGGGAGTTATTTTTATGCATAGTGCTTTATACTACATCTTCCCTTTTCTTATTCCAGTTGAAGGAACAGAATAAGCGAATGGTTAGAGTATTTATTGGGGAAAAGCAATATATATATATTTTGGTTCTCATCTGCCTCATTTGTAATTTTTAAGGATCTGTAAATGTACCTGAAAATTCCAGTGTCTGATTATTCCTTGTATGTTAACTAATTGGAATTAATACTGTTTAAGATTTCCATTGTTTTTTTTTTTTTCTAATGGCTACCTGTGTTCTCCAAAAGGAGATTGTTTTTCTTAGACTTTAATTTTGATTGTGGCTTACAATATCTTCTGAGCAACACGAACTTCCTCTTGTGCTATATTCTCACGTATCATAATTTCTGGAACTATAGAAGTTTTCCTGTTTGTATATTCAGTTTTCATCAATTGTAGGTCATTCCTGTTGGGAATAATTTGAAAAAAGGGGGAACTTGTGTCCGGGAAAAAAATAAAGAACATGTAAATTTCCTGCAGTATAACAAGGCCTTGGGAAAACAAGAGTGAAATAAAACATATTCCGAATCCCAGTGGTTGGTGGAGAAAAACAGACAAACAAATAAACAAAACACTTTTGGTGTGTAAGAGGGGCAGGTGGAGGTAGAACTCAGTGACAACAGGCACCTTGTTTTTTCTTGTTCTTCACAACATGGTTATTGAGTAAATTAATGAGTGAACAAAGGTAGTAGTGAATAATCAGAAAGTACTAATTGCATGAGAAACCATCCTGAAAAAAAAAATTAAGCCCCTTATTGTATTTTTTTGTAATAGCAAAGTAAAACTTAGAAGCATCTCATTGACATTCTAGGCGAAAGAGTGTCTGATGGTATATGAAAATTAGTAGTAAGTCCTCATTGTTATCAACACCAAAAGTGTAAAATTATCATTTGATATATTTTTAAAATTATGTATCTTTACTGTTAATGTGAATGTAAAATAATTTAAGAGATTTCTATAGATTCCAAACCTTTAACTTTTCTTTTTCCATCCTCTTGAATTACACAAATAGAAATTGGTCTTCTCTGGTTTTGTTTGTTTCTTTTGGGAACCTGTCATCAGTGGTTAGAGTCGATGATAATGGAATTAATTTAATTTAATTATTCCAAATTGGATGATTTTATAATATATGTATGCTGCTGGATTATTAACTATTATTTGTTAAATAATAATGAACTGCTTGAAGGTCAAGATAATCTTATTCAGTGTCATGTCTTTTATCATGTAACACACAGCAAATGTTGGATGGGTAAATGGATGGGTAGATTACAGGCCCAGTAGTACCAAATGAACAGAAGTATTAGTAAGTATTAACCTTCTTGAATCATAAGCACATGGTTCCTGGGACTTAGACATTATAAGAAGATATAACCAAATATTTGATATTAACAACACACCACAGAGCCAGTTTCAGTACCCATTCTGTATTAGCTTGCTTGGCTTGTTATGATATGCAGTTATTTAGTGAAGATAACTGTTTCAGTTTTAATTGTTCTGTTTTTACAAGCTAAGTTCAACTCCTCTGGGTTCTGTGTTATGACGCGTGATTGTGTTCCATTTTGTGTAAGTTACTGTTTGGTAAAACTTCCCAGAACACTGGAAGATTTCACCAGTTAGCTCTTCATCTGTTTTCAAGTGACCTGGCAGTCTTGCCCTTCTCTGTGAAGTGGGCTTTGTATGGTCTTCCTTTGCCTCAGCCAATTAAGACCTTAAAATTAGGCTTTGAGGAACTGTGCTCATGCTTCCAGGAACATAATAGCACCACTTTTCATTGAAGGAGATGAGAAGTGTTTAAGTTTGGCCAATGAACAAAGCAAGGATAAAAAACAAGTGCTAAAATCACAATTAGCCCTGAATATTTTAATGCAAAAAGGGTATCAGTTTTTAGACACTATTCTACCATTATGCTAGACTTCTCTCCATAATTTATGGTTCAAAGTTTCTTGCTTCTTATAGAGATAATTAAGTTATGTTGTAAGGCATTTTGAGAAGGGTACTACACTCTTGTTTTTGAGGCACATACTTTTCTACCCTAGATTTAAGATTTAAGCATGATTAAAACATTCCTGTTGCCTCAAGCCCAAATAAGATTCTAGAATGTAAGTCTTCAAAGGATGTTTCTTTGATATGGGTGGGAGATATGAGCAGATTTGACATTAAGGTGTGACATTTTTATGGATTTCATATTCACTTAAAAGTTACTGTTATCGGCCGCGCCCGTGCACTCGCGGCTCGTCCCGCAGGACGTCGGCGGGGCCCTCGGGCTCCGCCTCGGGCGACGACGCGGACGACGTGGACGATGCGGACTGGGCGCTGGCGGCCGAGAGCACGCCTTTCCTCGGCCTGCGCGCGGTGCACGACGCGCTGCCCTCGGCCTCGCCGCTGCTGTGCCCAGCGGCCGACAGCAGGACTTCTACTCCCTGGACAGACACAGCCGCAGGCTGCCCCCACGGGCCAAGCAGGACTCGGCGCCCCTCTAGGGCCCCCATCGCCCGCCGCCTCCTTCGCCTCGCCCGCCCCACTGCCCTTAAAGAGAACGGAGACCACCGACTGGAGAGAGAGAAAGGAGGAAAAAAAGAAATAGAAGTATTTTTATTTTCTATAAAAGGAAAAAGATTATCTAATGTTATCTGAGAAGCTGGATGCCTCTATGTCTGTCAGTTGAAGTGGAGATGGGAAACAGTTGTGATAAAGAGGTGCCGGCAGAAAGGTCCGCCGACAGACGGAGTATCCCAGGGACCAGTACATCAGAGAAACCCAACTCCATGGATACTGCAAATACTTCACCCTTCAAAGTACCAGGGTTCTTCAGCAAGGGCCTGAAAGGCTCCATCAAGAGGACCAAAAGCCAATCAAAGCTTGACAGAAACACGAGCTTTTGGCTTCCATCCCCTCGAAATACAGATGACGGGTCTTGTGGGCTGCCTAAACTAAAGGAGTCACGTTCCCATGAGTCCTTGCTGAGCCCGTGCAGTGCGGTGGAATGTCTGGACCTTGGTAGAGGGGAGCCCGTGTCTGTGAAACCGCTCCATAGTAGCATCCTTGGACAGGACTTCTGCTTTGAGGTTACCTACTTAAGTGGAAGTAAGTGCTTCAGCTGTAACTCTGCTTCAGAGAGAGATAAGTGGATGGAAAACCTTCGAAGGACAGTTCAACCAAATAAGGACAATTGCAGACGAGCTGAAAATGTTCTCCGTTTATGGATCATCGAAGCCAAGGGCCTTGCCCCCAAAAAGAAATATTTCTGTGAACTGTGCCTTGATGATACCCTCTTTGCTCGTACAACCAGCAAGACCAAAGCAGATAATATTTTCTGGGGTGAACATTTTGAATTCTACAGCCTTCCGCCTCTTCATAGCATCACAGTTCACATTTATAAAGATGTGGAAAAAAAGAAAAAAAAAGACAAGAATAATTATGTAGGGCTAGTCAACATCCCCACTGCCAGTGTGACTAGCCGCCAATTTGTAGAAAAGTGGTATCCTGTGAGTACACCTACACCCAACAAAGGAAAGACAGGAGGGCCTTCTATTCGGATTAAATCATGCTTCCAGACTATTACCATTCTACCTATGAAACAATACAAAGAATTTGCGGAATTTGTCACCAGCAACTACACCATACTGTGTTCTGTCCTTGAACCAGTAATTAGTGTGAGAAATAAAGAGGAGTTGGCTTGTGCCTTAGTTCACATTCTTCAAAGTACTGGCAGAGCCAAGAATTTTCTGACTGACTTGGTGATGTCTGAGGTGGATCGTTGTGGAGAGCATGACGCCTTGATCTTCAGAGAGAACACCATCGCTACCAAGTCCATTGAGGAGTACCTCAAGTTGGTAGGACAGCAGTACCTCCATGATGCACTGGGGGAGTTCATCAAAGCTATGTATGAGTCAGATGAAAACTGTGAAGTGGATCCCAGCAAATGTTCATCTAGCGAGCTGATAGACCATCAGAGCAACCTGAAAATGTGCTGTGAGCTGGCTTTCTGCAAGATCACCAACTCCTACTGTGTTTTCCCTCAGGAACTGAAAGAAGTATTTGCATCGTGGAAGCAGCAGTGCTTGAACCGCGACAAGCAAGACATCAGCGAGCGACTCATCAGTGCCTCGCTGTTTCTCCGTTTTCTGTGCCCAGCCATTATGTCTCCCAGTCTTTTCAACCTTATGCAGGAGTATCCTGATAACTGCACGTCTCGGACTCTGACTCTAATTGCCAAGGTCATTCAGAACCTGGCAAACTTTGCGAAATTTGGTAACAAAGAAGTATTCATGGCATTCATGAATGATTTTTTAGAACATGAATGGGGTGGAATGAAGCGGTTTCTTTTGGAGATCTCTAATCCAGACATCATCTCAAATACCCCAGGCTTTGATGGTTACATTGACCTGGGTCGAGAGCTTTCAGTTTTGCATTCCTTACTATGGGAAGTAGTGTCCCAACTTGATAAGGGTGAAAATTCCTTCCTACAGGCAACCGTGGCAAAATTGGGACCTCTCCCTCGTATTCTTGCCGATATTACCAAATCTCTGACTAACTCTACACCAATACAACAGCAACTGAGACGCGTCACTGAGCATAGCTCCAGCCCAAATGTCAGTGGACGTCTCTCCTCTGGGCTGCAGAAAATATTTGAAGACCCCATTGACAGTGACTTGCATAAACTGAAATCTCCAAGCCAGGAAAACACGGATGGCGATTTCCGAGGGAAAACATTATTGCTGGTTCAGCAGGCCTCTTCCCAGAGCATGACTTATTCTGAAAAGGATGAAAAAGAAAGTAGCCTTCCCAATGGCCGGGGCATCTCCCTCATGGACCTTCAGGACACTCGCGCTGCTCAGGGGGAGCATGTGCCTGCTGTGCTCAATGTGCCTATGCGCTTGACCGGAAACCAGCTCTCCATCACCCAGGGGGCCAGCATCAAACAACTGCGGGAAACCCAGAGCACTCCCCAGAGCACACCCCAGGTGAGGAGGCCCCTGCACTCAGCCTTGAACCAGCCAGGCAGCCTCCAGCTCTTGTCATTCCAGAACCCTGTCTATCACCTCAATAACCCAATGCCAGCAATGCCAAAGGCCTCTGTGGATTCCAGTTTGGAGAACCTAAGCACTGCCAGTTCCAGGAGTCAAAGTAACAGTGAGGACTTCAAACTCAGCGGACCCAGCAATAGCAGCATGGAGGATTTCACCAAACGTAGCACTAAAAGTGAGGACTTCTCCAGGTGGCACACTGTGCCAGACAGACACATACCTCTTGCCCTGCCACGGCAAAACAGTACTGGGCAGGCCCAAATCCGAAAAATGGAACAGGCTGGGTTAGGTGCCCGAGCCAAAGCACCGCCATCCCTGCCCCACAGTGCAGCCTTGCGAAGCACAGGGAGCATGTCCGTGGCATCTACAGCCCTGGTGGCTGAACCCGTGCAGAATGGGTCCCGGTCCCGGCAGCAGTCTTCTTCCTCCAGAGAGAGCCCTGTTCCCAAAGTGAGAGCAATCCAGAGACAACAGACTCAGCAGGTCGGGGTTCAGTCTCCTGTGGACTCTGCCACAATGTCCCCAGTAGAGAAGACAGCAGCCTGGGTTCTGAACAATGGGCGATATGAAGAGGACGTGGAAGAATCTGAGAAAAATCAAGATGAAGCCAAGCATGCTGAGAAGTATGAGCAGGAAATTACCAAACTGAAGGAGCGCCTGCGGGTGACCAGCCGGCGGCTGGAGGAGTATGAGTGCCGGCTGCTGGCACAGGAGCAGCAGATGCAGACGCTGCTGCTGGAGTACAAGGCCCGGCTGGAGGACAGCGAGGAGCGGCTCCGCAGGCAGCAGGAGAAGGACAGCCAGATGAAGAGCATCATCAGCAGGCTAATGGCTGTGGAAGAGGAATTGAAGGATCACGTTGAGATGCAAGCAGTTATTGATGCAAAGCAAAAAATAATTGATGCACAGGAAAAACAGATCGTGTCCCTGGATTCAGCCAACACCAGACTCATGAGCGCACTGACACAGTGAAAGCACTGCAGTCGTTAGAGGGGGAATGTGGGAGCTGTGTGTGAGTGAGAACCAAGCCCCGGGTCCAGGAGACAAAAACCACGTGTCTGTCTAGCTGATAGAGGCACATAGAGTGCAGTAGGACTTTGTCAGAATGAATTTTGCAGGGATTCATCTGCCAGTTTAAAAAACCTGCTCTGACCCCCTTGTCATTTAGGAAAACATGCAAATACCATGATCCAAACAAAACAGTTTATCCCATTGGTCAAGACTGGCTCTGGATGGACATCTAAGCTGATTTGGGGATACACTGTTTCAGAGGACACAGATAAGAGCCGTTGCATCAAAACTGGACTTTAGGAGTGTTTCCTTTGAACTCCTGTTGATGTTTATTTCCTTCTGCCTATAGAAGATGGGAATTTTCCATTTTAGATAGGGGTCTTTTTAAAAACCCCTGTTGTAATAAAGGGTGTTCTCCTCTTTATAGTTTACAAAAAAAAAANTTCAGTAACAAAAGTATTTGCAAATGGGAAAAATTTTTAATAAAGTTACTTGCTTATATATGAAAATTCTGTTCTGTAGCTATTAAATGCTTCAAGTGACTTATTTTCTTCCTTTGAGAATGGCAAAACGTTTTATTGACACACACACCAGTCATAAGTATATATGATATATTTGTGCATCCTTCCATAAAACTATGAACCATGTGAGAGCATAGACCTTGTCTTAAATATATTGGTGGTTCATGATCTGTCACAATGTGTAACCCATAAACATTTAATTTAATGCATATTTGTTTATCAGATAAAATATAATACTAATTTTAACATTTACCTAATTATTTTAAAAGCATAATTATACTGCTCAAATAATTATTAAGCAATATTGTGAAATGTTTAAGAGATATTATGCTGCTATTTTTAAAATTTACATCTTGATTTATATAACAGATTTACACAGAGTTGATTTACTTAAAAAATGCAGATCATAGAGCAGTGTAACATGTAGAGCAATGAAACGCAAATGTGAGGTACATATATAATGTAAAATTATCTTGTAGCCACATCAAGAAAAGTAAAAAGAAAATAGCTAGTTAATCTTAATAATATATTTTATATAATCCATATATCATAAATATGTTCACTTCAACATGTAATAAATGTGGGAAATTACTGAGATAGTTTACATTCTTTTTCTTATTGAGCCTTTGAGATCTGGCATGTATTTTACCACATAGCCCATCTCAGTTCCAGCCAGCCACATTTCATATACTCAAGAGCCACATCTGTGGCTCAGGGCTTATATATTGGATAACAGAGCCTGAGAAGACCTTCTGTATTGGCTGTTGTTCCATCTCATCATGCCTTTGATGAGAGATTCATCTATAGTAGGATTGCCAGGATTGTTAAGAACTCTTTAGAAAGGTCCAAGATGATGAATGCAAACAGCAGCTCATATACTCTAAAACTCTATTTATGAAAAACATATTTGCTTTATATGTAAAAAAATAAGGCATCTTACAGTAAAAACTCTATCCACAATACCAGAATGTAAGAAGAGAAATTAAAAATGTATAGAAATGATTTACTTAGATTACAGTCTTTGACTTTTCCAATTTTCTGTGCATCTGTTTAAAAACAGATGGTAGAGAATAACACAGTTATTGGTACAGCTGAGTAGTAAAATTTAAGCAATTCAGAAGGAAGGACCTTTCAAGGAGATTTATTAACCTTTACCTAGATTTTCCTGTGTTGTATAGTTTACAGTAAGGAATTTGGATGGTCATTAACTACAGAGTTCATTCTTTGGAGTACACAGGTCGTGATGTCTTTGGTTGAGGTGTAGAGCTTTGTAAATATTTTGCACAGGTCAGGGTTATTTTCCATTCAGACTACAGAGTCTAAGTTGCTCAGGCACTGTTTATAGACTGTTTAGACCAAGTTTCCTGCCCAAGCTTTTTATTTTTTAAAATTTAGCACCTGCTAATGAATTTGGAAGGGTTTTTATTAGCTACATGGGAACTAATGAAATGGAACCTAATGTTTTCTGAATACCTACCATGTGCCAAACTCTGTGGTGGACATGTTACATTAATTTCTCAGATGATCTGTCATTTGAGTTAGGCATTTTTATTCCTCATTTATTAATAAATGAATTGAAACTCATAGAGGCTAAGAAAGAAGCCTTTGGATCCATGACAAAGCAGAAGAGATTCCTTTGTAAATAGTGGCTTGACTGGGAGTGCAGGAAACGACTCTGTTGTTCCTCATTCACGTTAAACTGTAGCCCATCCCTGTTATTCACCACTCAGCAGCCTGGAGTAAGTATTTTGTAACATAAATTATTCCATCTTACTACCCTGTTTCAACCCTTCAATGACCCACACACTTAGGAAAAAGCAGCCAGGTTCTTTTATCATGATTTGCGGCATTCCTCCCAATATGGCTCCTGCCTACTCTCCAGCTTCATCCATTTTCCCTCAGCTTTAGTGTTAAATTCCAGACAGAGTTTATACTTGCCCTATTTTCATTCCTTTGACATGCCAAGCCCATTTCTGCCCCAATTTTCATACCTGTTGCTTTTCACCTCCACTTCATTCTCCCTACTCCCCACTACCCTGCACACATGGCTTCAGCTGCCTCCTGCTTTAGGTCTCAGCTTAAATGTTACCTCCTCAGAGAGACTTGCTCCATCACCTCATCTGAGTAGGTCCCCTCCTTGTCACTGCCATTGTAGCCTGTTAATTTACTTTAAAGCATGTAAAGCAGTAATTTTATTTGAATACATGCTCATGTCATTTATATACTGTCTGCCCTTCGTGCTAGATTATGAACTCCAGAAGGCCAGTGATCAGGTCTGCTGCCCGTGCTGTGATGTGTGCACAGTTAATAATTGTTGGAAATACTTGCCTCTTAGTACCTGGATTACCATGATTTTATCCTAAACTCTTCTTCCCAATTTCATTTGCTCTTTGTTTCATCTGCTAATGTTGCCAAATTTTAATAAATACTAATTGGGTCACCTTCGTAGCACCATATCACCCTCTTTGGTCTAAGGGATCCTATTTCCTGACCCACACGAGTGACTGTATAACCAGGCCCAGGCTAGCCTGGTAGCTTGCTCATCTCATCTCACCTCACTGCACCTCACCCCAGGGACTGCCTCAAGGGATGTGATCCAGTCTAGGCCATTCCAAGTCTTCCCTTGATTGATTATTTCAGATTCAAAATAGGAGAGTAAACCTCTTTTTATTCTTTGAACATGGTATTGAAAGGATATAAATCTGCCTGGTCAGAGATCATATTCCATGTCAAGAGGAGAAAACTGTGCTAACAGGGAAACAAGCCAATACTCAGAGAAAAACTTAAGACATAGGGCAAGTGATAGGCTTGCTGGTGTTGAGCCCTTGTACCCATTTACCCTCACTTTTTAATAATATGCTGTGTTTAATTCCTTCCTTTTTGGTTTAAATTTGTTAAACTTGGCTTTCCCTCCTTTATAAGCAGTCATGACAAATTAATTTTCCCACTTGCATCCATAACTATATGCAGCAAGGACAGTCAGGGTCCATTTCATTTTCTTGTGTTAAATTTAAAAAGTACTTCTCAGCATCACTACAAGATGATATTGAACTAAATTATTTAATTTGAAAATGGTGTTTCTACTTTTTCTGCTACTATGTATTTTCTGCCCACAATTCTATTCTTCCTACTATAACTTCAATTTCTGAAAACCTAGGGATGCCAAATACGTGATAATTATTTATACACACATACAGAATGATTATAATTTATAGACTATATCATTCAGTTACTTAAATGATTGTCTTTTACACCATATAAATTTTGGGTCTGTTCAAACTAGTTGTTAGATTTTATTTTGAACCAGTGTTTTTTTTTTAACTAGAATTTCTAAATAAATATAATGAACCCTTTGTTGAAAAGAAGGAAGTGATATAAATGCCTAGTCTGATACACATGTTTAATTACATGGGAAAATAATGCTCACAATTTTAGCTTTATTAAGTTCCATGAAAGAGGGCTAGGGGCTGGAGGCTGTGTGGACGCACGTGAAATGGCATTCTACGGTCGGCCAGGGCTGCAGCTGACTCAGTATTCTGATTCTGACCATGGCATGAAGCGATGTTTTGGTGGAGGCACCGTCCTTAGTTTTATTTGTTCACTTTCAAATATTCAGAGTACACTCTATTTCTAATTTTTTTTCTTAATTAAACTTTATGGCTAAAAAACCTATTTGAATTGCTTTTGTACCTTCAAAATATATAAACCTTTTTAGGGGTCGTGCCCCACAAAACATGCCACCACTCTCATTTTCTGATGCTCAGGACAGACATTAGTAAACTTAATTTCCTCTGAGTCAGCTGTTAGTTTCAACATTCCTCCTAGAACATTGTCCTAGGTAGGCACTGCCAGCTGATCTGAATTGACCCAAGAAGTGAAATTTAGTTGTTAGTTTCTGTAGGAAATGAGTTCTAAATGGTATAGACTTCTGTCTGAACTGAATAGAATGGCATGTCTTTTGAATTTCAAGGGTTCTATTTCAGTAGTTTCATTTGTTCTTCAAAACAGTTTATTTCCAATTCTGCTAGTTGCTCTGTAAGGGACAAGTATCCTTCCAAGTAAGTTATGGCAGAATTCTTGCCCTTAAGCTTACACATTTTGTGAACTAACATGACATGCTGGATTTGGGCATTATTTCTTTCTCAATTAACCTTTACTTTGCTTAATATATTTTGCTTTGCTCTTGCAACTCAATAATGGAATGACAAATAACTCAATTAAAAAATGGGCAAAGGTCTGAATTGACAGTTCTTCCAAAAAGAGATAAAATGGCTAATGAGCACATGAAAAGATGTTAACATCATTAGCCATCAGGGAAATGCAAATCAAAACCACAATGTGATACCATTTCACACTCATCAGGACAGCTATAATCAAAAAGGCAGATAATAACTGTTGGAGATAATTACATGGGAAAATAATGCTCACAATTTTAGCTTTATTAAGTTCCATGAAAGAGGGCTAGGGGCTGGAGGCTGTGTGGACGCACGTGAAATGGCATTCTACGGTCGGCCAGGGCTGCAGCTGACTCAGTATTCTGATTCTGACCATGGCACGAAGCGATGTTTTGGTGGAGGCACCGTCCTTAGTTTTATTTGTTCACTTTCAAATATTCAGAGTACACTCTATTTCTAATTTTTTTTCTTAATTAAACTTTATGGCTAAAAAACCTATTTGAATTGCTTTTGTACCTTCAAAATATATAAACCTTTTTAGGGGTCGTGCCCCACAAAACATGCCACCACTCTCATTTTCTGATGCTCAGGACAGACATTAGTAAACTTAATTTCCTCTGAGTCAGCTGTTAGTTTCAACATTCCTC